TTTGTCTCTCTGTAACTTAAAGGCAAAATGTTGTTTGATCGAAGGTGGCTCCAAATATTTGAAACAATGGGTAAAAGTGTGGTTTTCCGGCTTAGAACATTGATTTGGCGTTTGGGATTTTTATCTGGTTTAAGGGTGACTAGAGAAAGTCTCTGTGGCGAGGGATTTTCGGCGGTTAGGCGGTGTGTTTGCCAGAGAATCCGTCTCACGGCCCAAGAGCTGGGTCCCCGGGCTACTGTTTGTCTGAATCTGCATGCGGGATGTTTCCTGTTCCTTTAAATTTTGCTCCATGGAAAAGCTGGTTAGGATCCCTCCGTGACAGTGATATAAGAAAGGGATGATGTCAGAGTTGAGGCTCAAGAGATAGGAATGCCGCTCCATTGGAAACCGTGCCAAGCGTCCGTGATATTTCTGCTTCTGAGCTAACGTGTATTTTCTGTAAAGGGGGCGGAATGTATTTTCGTGCCTTTTCTATAAAGTGAGCAGAAAAACATGGTGTATAGGAAAACATGCATTTTCTCTTTCTTCTTGACCTCCCGCAAATTTCAAGGGCTCCGATAGAGATCAGGAAACAAAATCGGGTAGCTCAGATTAAGGGGCATTAAACCATTCATGTTCCAGGTTCAACCCTTTTCGCAATCTGAAACATAACTATTGCTTGGAATCTGCGCTGACCCAAATTCTGGAAGCCGTTCGCAATTAAAGTACATGTAGGCAAATATGATATAATTGAGACAGACTATTTTGTTCAATTGTCACATTTAAAATAATACACACAAGCTTCTCTCTCTTTCGCTCCCTCTCTTTCAAGAAAGAAGTAATTTTTTACTCAGCTTCCCAGTTTTCTTTTCTAGATTCTTCATCTCCCCATTAGAATTTTGGGTTTGGTCAAAACCTGGAGACCCGTTCCTCCTTCTTGGCAATGCCCAACATTCAGGAAGTCCTGCACCCATTCACAAGTCCCCTATCTGCCCTGTCTCCCAAGTACCTAGACACAAATATCCCTAAATAATCATATTTTCTAAGGACAACAAGAATTCTGCTTCTGAAAATTATTAAAACAACAACACCCAGCTGAACCACCTTCAAAGGAAAACCTTCAAGCTTCAAAAGTACCACAAAAATGCTCGTTCCCTTTCACCAGGAGGCAGTTTTGCTTAGCAAGCATGACAAGAAGTTTCCATAGATATAAACATAACATAAAGGAAGAGTTCAAACTCCCTTGGGCCAGAAGGTTGCCTACGAGGTCAAAATGTTTGCTAGATGAAGAACGCAGATCAGATTTCTCTTTGTGAGAAACCAGGATTTGTCCGTTGCCGTGAATTCCTCTGTAGGAGCAGGCACAGAAGGCCATGTAAAAAGGTAGTCAAAATGGTTTAGAGAGCCCTCTCCAACCTGGTGCCCCTTAGAAGTGTCAGGCTTCAACTCTTCGTGTTCCTTCCCAGCCTTGTCAATGACTGTGTTGGTGTAGAGGAATGGAAGGTGACCCCATTGTTAAGGTGGTATTCTTCTGAATTAAACTAAGGTCCACTTAATCCAGCTTTCCATTTCCAGTAGACTATTCCAGAAGGACAATTGGAGCATTAGGTCTTGTTCTTCAGGTTAAGAGCTGCCCCTGGTTATCCTGGCCAATGGCAAATGCCCAGGAGGGCCTCCTTGGTTTTGCTTTTACCTGGTTAAAAATCATGTTTCCAGATAAATCCTCCACATTCCATTATCACCAACATACATCTTTCATTTCCCTGTCAACCCAGTTATACATCACCCACTGTGTTATCTGTACAAATTAAGAATGCTCTGACTTGTTCTGCTGATTGCAGAAATAGCACACACAGGGGCGTGCATGAGATGGGGATCAGGATATTCTGATGCAGGATGTTGCTCTCAGATCTAAATAAAAAAGTCAACAACTCAGCGATCATCTTGGGCTTAGAGCCTGTGTTCTCCATACATGTCCCAAGGGAGCCCAGGACTGCCCACCAGCAGAAGAGCCTTGTGCACCCCCCCTAGGGCCAAGTCATTCAACCCTTCCTCTGGCCATATGCTTCCATCCTTCAGCCTGGCTTGTTAAGGGAGACATGTTCTTGCTTCGGTGGGGTATTCCCTCAAAGACATGCTGCTCACAGCTCAGCACTCCTCTTTCCATGGGTCCTTGGCTAATGATCTCCCCTTGACTTCAGTTCCTCCCCTTGACTGGAGAACCATCCTAGAGCACTGCCACCAACCTTTCTCAACGAATTATCAGACAACAGCAGTGTGATTTTCTTGAGGTTTTTGGAAGAAAATAAGTAGAATTGGAGGTTTACCCAAGCTATTAATGCTTTAATATCCCCCAGATTCAAAAAAAGGGGGTGCAGAGGTCAAAAGAATCTGCAGAAAATATAATTTTGAAAACTGGCCCAGCCAGAAATAGATTGCCCACGCCGGCTGCATTGCACATGGGTTCTTCCCACCTGGGGCAGGGCTTCATCTTCTAGAATCGCCCAGGCAGGCTGTCTGGTGCCAGTGATGGAAGGAAATAGCTTGGCCAAGGGATGACTGGGAGGGGGCAAAAAAGTCAAGGTGACACCCACAACCATGTGACCAGAAAAAGGGGCAGAGGTTCAGTCACTGGTTGTGCCCCCCAGCTTGACTTTTCTGACCCACCCTCCTGCAGCCCCCCCTGGCTTGGCCAGTTGTCAGAGGCAGTCAGGACTGGGGAGATGTTCCTCACCCGCTGGTTCCCAACCCTCGCATCAGGGAGGCAGGATTTTTCTCAGTGTTCACTTCTGATACTGCTGGTGAAGCACAGGGCAAATCATTTCTCGGATGCTAATTTCCAAGGAGAGGGCCAGAAAAAAGTTGTGAAGCGTGTTTCCTTAGCAAAGGTTGCCACCAAGCACAGCTGCTTGCAATCAGACCAAAGGACGCTGGGTCACATGGTGGCTTATGGTCAGCTCCAAGGGACAAGGTTTGCAATTTTCCCTGCGTTAATGAGGTTATTTTTACTTTCAGGAGCACAGCCCAAATGCCCACGTGCCTTCCCCACCTTAAAAAAGAAAGGGGTGCCTTTTTTTCCTCCATAACAAGATTATTAACAGGATGGGGAACGGGGCCTTAATTAACGTGGCAAGAACCTCTTACGGAGCTCTGCCAAGCTGTGTTTTGCATCTGCATGATAAAGACTGGCTTTTTCAGGGGCCCTTACATGTCTTCCAGCTCAAACCTTCTGGGGCTCTTAAAGCTGTCAGAAAACTGGTTATGTCTCCCTTCCTTCCAGTGTTTACTTAAAAAAAAAATTGCTAACAGCACAATCTTGCATGAAAAATAAGGCATAGAAGGAGTTACATTACTAAGGGCTGCTATTCTTTGGTGTGTATTAATTAATATTCATTACTTTCTATATAAAGTACAGTCCTTGACATGTCTAGCTAGCAATAAATAGAATTGATTGGATTTACCCCCAGATCATGGGTAGTGCAGGTCTTGTGATGGTTCACAGATACGTGTTTTAATGACTATTGGGGTAAGTATCAGTTTTCCAAAGCAGCATTATGCCTAGTAGAGGATCCACAGGCCTTTTTCCTTAACTTTCACGCAGAAAATCAGTGCAAAACTGTGGAGTCCTTGGGGTTCTCTGAGCTTGGTTCTTTTCTTGCAAACCTTTCATTACCCGGCTAGGTAACATCTTCATCTGAACATCTGAAGATGTTACCTAGCCAGGTAACGAAACGTTTGCAAGAAAAGAACCAAACTCAGAGAACCCCAAAGACTCCACAGTTCAACCCGGAGCCACACATATTCACCTCTATCAGTGCAAAACTGCCACCAGATTTTAATGTGCTATCCCAATAGCAGGGAATATCTGATGTGCTTGCAGAGTTTCATGACCCAGTTAGGTAGCATCATCCATATGCTATCTTTGGGGATTTCAGGAGAGCAACAAAAAGGAAAACTAGGGGAGGGGTGTGTGTGTGCACCCACAGGCACTCTCTTGGCATAAGGATTGCAATGCTAATTTTTTTTAAAACCTAGAGGCCAGTCATCAATGTCAGTATTGTCTTGCTTGCTCTTAATTGAAAA